TTAGTATATTTTAGTCAGATATGTTACAAAAACAAGAATTAGGCAGTTTTGGGTGGATAAGTTTAATGTTGAGTTTGTATAAATAAGCAAATAAACCAGTGTTACATTAAATAAACGAATGAATACATTTAAATCCGTAACAAAAAACAACAAAAAAAACAACAACCCACATTTTTAATCAATGTAAACTAAGTAAAACAAGCAACCCCACTGTGGAAGCTAAACTGAATTATTTTATAATTCTAACCATAATAATTCTGTTGTGATAATATGTGGAATGTAGACCTATTGCAAACGCACTGGTAACAACAATGAACAATTTCCTCAACTTCTACTTTATAAGATTCATTTGTAAATATTGTCTACTCTCTTATTTTGTTGTGTCAACAATGCAGTTGTTTAACACACCCTCACACAATACAGAGTACATGCTGCTCCTCAAAAGATGGGCCTAAAACCACTAACCGCGACTAAGATTTAAACTTTGTGAGGAAGGAGAGACTGAAATTAATGTTTCAGTTTTGTTTAAAAACAAAATAATTTGCAAAAAAGTGTATTTCACAGAAACTCGATATTCACCAAAAAACATATTGAAACAGACACACAGACTCCACAAACTGTCAGCTTATCACAGGAAAGAAGTTCACAACCCGTCTTTACAAAGAAATGGAGCCCAGTTAGTGTTGACCCTATAAAAAGGTCAAAAATAGCTGCTTGCACCTAGAATGCCAAGCTGAAATCAGATCACTTTACAGAGTGACGAATACAGCTTTCTTCGCTCAAACCGCATTTAACTAAAGCCCTGTGACCAGGTTGTACATAAATTATCTCCAGTCTCCCTGTTAACACAGAATCAAGATTTTCAAAAAAGTTAAAACAGTGAGGTCTTTCTCTTCTGGTATAACCCTCTGCCCCCTGAACGCCCCCATCACAGATGAGTGCGAATCAAGACAGAAGGTTGTCAGACCCAGGGGGCTTGTGAGGAATCGACAAGGATAGACAAGCTGCAATAATATAATATAACACCTCATTTCATATATATATCTATATCTATATAGATATATAGATATAGATATATTTATTTGCCTTTAAATTGATAATGACAAATATGGCACAGGAACAAACCGGTCACAAAAGGCCTCTACTCACTTTTAGCTTTAACCACATAAAAAGTAAGAACAACGGCATGACAACTGAAACACCAGTTTAGCCAATAACAGAAGACTGCAAGTCAGCAAAATTGGCATGCACATAAAAAACGAGACTGATGAAATAGAATACGTGTTTTAGGCTTCACTTTCACCTCGAAAGACAATCTTTTGATGAAAGGAGGCGAATATAATGTTGAGCAAGAGGTTTTGTAGGCATTTGTAAAGTTACTGGGTTTGACTCTATAGCTAATCCGTGTGATGAAGTAATTTACATTTTTTTATTGTTTCAATACAAATGCAAAAGAAATATAAATACTGCACGCAATATTAATATAAATATGGAAGGGCAATGTAAATATTGCTCCGAAATACTGAGAGAAAATTGCGAATGATTCAAACAATATTTTGGCATATCAAAAGTGAATATTATATTAGTCCAGTCTTTAAATATTTAGGAAATATATGCTTAAATTGGAAGATTAAGATAAAAACTATATGTAGACAAAAATAAATCATAGATTAATTCAGTGAGGAGGACATCAGCAACAACATGAAAACTAACATTATATAGACAAAATTTGTTCTTCAAAAAAAATACCATTTTGCTAATTTTTTTGCAAAATAATGAGCAATCCTGCAACTGCAAAACCGACACTTCAGTCTACAAACAAACAATGGCTAGAGGAACACAACTACCTTGATGTCTAAATAAACATATAATATTCATGTTAAAGGTTGAGTTAATGTAGACAAAAATCAGGCAGCTTTTAGAAAATGAAAATTTCGCCATAAAAGAAATTCTGCTGGAATGACTGCATCCTTGTATGCATTAAAAGACTTTAACAAAGCATCCACGATACTTTCTTTTTCTCCCCCTCACATCCAATGCAGAAATCCACACAAACCACAAGTTCAAACTGTCACACAGTGAGCTGCACATCAAGAGTAATGAAAACTAAAGCTGAAGTTTCACAGTGGTTCTTTTTAAAGGGTAAATGATAACTCAAATTCAATGACTAACCGTGCAAATCTTTAACCAAAGACATTCCAGCAACTGCAGAATCACGGACAACAGCGGAGACTTCTGCTTATTTGTTCAAATCATTCCCTGGCTATCCTACAATATAAGCAAAATAAAAACTATAGTTTTATATATACACATCTCACAAAAATGTACCAGTATAAAGAATAGTGCACGCACAGTTTCTAACGCAGTGAACCACAACCAGTGTGTGGCCAATTTCAACATTTCAAATGTAACGCATTTCACATTCACCACTCAGAAAGTGTTGTGAAGCAAGACAAAGACAAAACAAAGCTCAGTTCTGCTCCCTTTCTGGTTAGGCATGGTGTCTTTCATACAGAATCAAAACTCATAATCCTGAAGTGACAGAACCCCAGTTTGACTCTGATGTCTAAGTTTTATATAACACTTAAAATTAAGAGATAAACGAGCAAATTAAATACATAATTACATTTAAAATTAAGAAAGAGCCTTTTTCTAAGCTGATGAACTTTAAAGTCTCTTTTTTTCAAAAATATAAATATAGTTAAATTAATTAAATCCTAATTAACCCCTGTTTAATTTGGGAGTCTTTAGGAAAAACTGTTCTAGCACCAAAGTTATCAAATATTTCAATATTTTGAGACAAGGCTAATCGAATATTGAAACATGGTAATGAACAGTATATTTGCATAATGACTGAAATCTAGCACCACTGATTAACAATTAGCTGTTAACATGTGGTGCTAGTTTGCAATTATGCAAACATGCTGTTTATGAGGTTGGGAAAACCTGCAGTCAGCTGAGAATGAAGAAGTCACTTGGATGAGTGACGCTACGTTACTTTTTTTAGGAAACCATAAAAGCGTTAGTAAACTATCCCTTCTCACTGTGAAATTTAATTAACTTTCATTTGATTAGATATATAATAAGACCACTAATTACTATTGCCTTCTTTTTATGAAGTGTGACTATCTCTAGCCAGACACATTGAAATTGGCTATAAAGATCTCCTCTTTTAAAATAAGCAGTGAATCCATCTGTATATCCCCGACTATGCAAACCCAGTAACCCACTTCCATCATGGTGTCAGATGAAGATAAATAAATTACAACCCAAATGATTCATTTCAGAGTTGCTGTCAATTGTTTTTGAAGTGAAGGACATTTAGGGGTTAGGGGTGACCGTGGCTCAGGGGGTTGGGAAGCGTATCTGTAACCGGAAGGTCGCCGGTTCGATCCCTGGGCTCTCTGTCCTGGTCGTTGTGTCCTTAGGCAAGACACTTTACCCTGCCGCCTACTGGTGTTGGCCAGAGGGGCCGATGGCGCGAAATGGCAGCCTCGCTTCTGTCAGTCTGCCCCAGGGCAGCTGTGGCTACAACTGTAGCTTGCCTCCACCAGTGTATGAATGCGAGTGAATGAATTGGGGGAATTTAAAGCGCTTTGGGTGCCTTGAAAAGCGCTATATAAATCCAATCCATTATTATTTGTGCTGTTTGCTGTTCACATTTTTTAAAAAGTTGTTTTTTGTTAGTTCTTCATGTTCTGTCTCTGATGATAAGAAGGATAGTGTGTATTTCATGATCTTTCAAGTGTCTTGTATCCATAGACAAAAGACACTTTAAAGGTTATTTAGTTTGTTCTCGCTTTGCAACTGTGACCCACTCAATTTGAACTTCTTTTTTCCCCCCTCACATGGTAGCCAGAGGTTTAAACTTTACATTTCATTTTGGAGTCTTTAGAAATACTCTATTCTAGCTCCAACACAAATATTTGAACATTTGAGACAATCCAGAATGGCCTAATCTAATACTAAAACACAGTAATGGTAAGGCGACATATATCTTCTCTATGCACAAAACGTATTTAGAGTAATAAAGTAAAGCCATAAAAATATTTTGAATTCTAATATGTTGGAAAAATAAAGAGTTTATTAGCACCATTTAAAACCAATTTGAGTATTTTTTTTTTGCAAGCACTTCTGAAGACATTAAAAACGGTTAACTTCTTCAGCTTCAGCTTTTTCTAGGTTTATCACAGAAATATCTGAGAGTTGCTGGTGTAAAACTGACAGATTGGACTTCAACACATTTAACCTTGCCGATCTTATGCAAACAGTCTTAGAAAAAAATCAGCATAATTTCAAAACTGCTGTAACCAGATGTGCATACTTCACTGTTCCTCATATCCACCTTTAATGTAACATAACTTTTAGCAACTTTAATGGAAGTCTGCCTCTCTCTCCATCCTTCAGTGGAGTGCTCACTAAGAAGAATATCATCACTCTACTGAGTTTCTATTTTGAAAATGTTACTCAACTGATAAACAAATGCAGATTTTGATCTGGGAGCCAATCAATAACGCGCATTTCCAAGACTATTAGCCTACTACATATCCAAGGAAAACAAATAGTGATAGAAAACAACTTGCATGGAAGTTATACTTTTAATAACAGTGATGTCAAAATGAGCATTTACCTAATTTCTTTGTCTAAACTGGCACTGAATAAGCTTGTCCAGCAATAATATCGTTCAGCAATTTATTAAAGCTGAAAGCTAAGTTGATTAGCAGTTGCGCGCATGCGCACAATTGGCTTTATGTCCCGGTGTGCAAATTCAGCATTTGAGGAGGGTGGGAATTATCTTGGCAGCACAAGAAAATCTTTGGGCTCCACGGACAACGAGAAACAGTTAGTAGCGTTTAATGAGAAAGTAGTGGAGAAGTGCGTCGGTGCTTTTCGTGTAGCGATGCTGCTTTCACCTCGCTACGTTCACGCTTTCAGAAGTGTTAAGGGATTTCAATAAATCGTCTAAAAATCATTAAAAGTTAAACCATGGTTGGACTTACCAGCGGATCCACCGGCGATGACCTGACGAGAGGCTTCTCGGAGCATGCTCTGTGGCTTTGTGGCTGTCATTTTTAGTGTTTTTAGATGCCCTGTCACAGAAAACACGGCCATACGCTGTTACACGCCCTGTAAGGTTACTGCTACTGTGGCGTTAATGCTGTATTACACCTACGTCGGTGCTGATTAACTCGCAACAAACCTGTGGATTTCGTGCTCTTCGGTGAGGCTGCTCGGTGGTGTCCTGCCCCGTGCGGCTCACGGTTGACTCAGAGGTTCCTCTGCTCCTGTAGCGGCAGCCCACGCTGGAGACAGCGCAGCAGCGCTATCTATCCGAGTGCTCACGGGCTAGGCTAGGCTAGGCTAGGCTAATATGGAGTAGTTACCCCCCCACGGGCCCACACTTACCTCTCCACTCTCTGAATAGTTTAATTTAATCCAGCCACCGATAAACGTAAAGCAAATAATCCTATGTACAGATAATTAATATGCACTTAGTGCTTTATATTAAACAAAGGCAGCTATTAAATCTTTATGCATTGTTTATATTACAAATGCAGGCGTTTTAATTAAATTAATTATAATCCTATAATATTAGATGGGTCAAAGCCCAGGTGTACACGCCAGAATGAGACCACTCACGAGCACTATTCGTGGTTTTCAGGGGTTTGGGGATCTAGAAGCAACACACTATACAATACCTCTTCAATAAATTAATAAAATAAAATCAGATATTGACACCCCCCGGCATCTATGGTGTAATTGCCATGCACCGTGAACTCAGACGTCACTCGGTAGAAGTCAACGTGAAAACACAGCAGTGGGGCAAGTCAGATTACACATTAGTCAAACAGCTTTGTGGTGCAAGGTCCATGTGATGTGGTGTTGTACAAGTGTGTAAATAGGTCAGCTAAAGACAAATTTGGAAATTATCCCATTTGTCCAAAGTTCATATTTGAAAGTGTTTATAACAGTTTAAAATCATGCATTTTGTTTTATCTGTAGAATGCATGCATATCTGCATAATATCTGCGCGAGCCCTTTTGTAATGTACCGACATTGTGATCCATAGAGGTCAATTAAGAGCAGGTGCTGTAGATTCCCATTGCTTTTCCAGTTAAATGTGTTGTTTTACAAAGATGTGAAATGTATGTAGGACTCACACTGTTGAATCCCTGTAACATTATTTATTGTATATTTATACGTTTGAACAGGGTCCTTTTTTGTGTAGTGCTGAGTTGAGTATTTTTACTCTTCACAATATAATTTGTTCTGTTATTCAAACTTTTTTCTTCCTCCAGCACTGTTTTTTTTTCTTTTTTTTCTTTTTTGTCTCTGTGTTACTTTTAAGCAAATTGATGCATTTAGGATGCCAAACTGCACTCTGAAGAAACTAGTTAAGAAATATCACCTGCTTTGTGTATTTTTAAAGAACATAAGGTTACAGAGAAAACAGCAAAGGGTAAACTCTGGATGACTTTGTGAAGTAAACAGTCAGATACGAACACAATGTTTTTAAACTATGTACAGACATCCTCCTTTGCAAACATTAGTCTAGTTAAACACACACCCAGTAAGACTTTCAAGGTAAGCAAATGTTCATCTACAGCTACAACATTGAGATTGTTTGCTATAAATTCAAATAGAGCATGTGGCCTTATTGCACCATGGATAAAGTGCAAAAGATATTCTTTTTTGTTTAGAAATGAAGGCATGTAGAAATTTAGCAGTGAGCCCTATAATAGAATTTCATTTTGTATGAGAGTATGGAACAACAAGAGCTCCAGACAAGCTATAAAAATCTGGAATTTATAGCATACATTTGGCAGGAAAATACCATTACCACTTTGACCTCCTTGGATAAGAAAAAACAGAGCATGATAATATATACTTGGAAGGCTGTGTACAACCGGCACAGAAGGTAAGTTTATGGACAAAATGAATGAGAGAAGAAGTTCTGTGCTCTCCAAGGGACGCTTTGGCTAGAACACGATTCTTGTCACCATTGCTTAAACCTTCTGATTCATGATTAAACTTTATAGTACTTAGTAGCAGGAGTGTTTCATAAGGGAAAGCCAGTGGAACATTTGTTCCAGGAAAAGAAAATAGGACAAGTGTTAATAGCATTTAAAATGTTTCTACCATTTCCTTAGACACATAATTAATAAAAATGGAAGCACGCCTCACCCCCAAGTAGTCATGCCAGGTGGCCGCCCATCCCTGAGCCCAACTCAACAGAGATTTCTTCCTGTTAAACGGGAGTTTTTCCTTCCCACTCTTGCCAATTGCTTGCTCCTAGAGGGTTGTCTGACTGTTGGGGGTTTCTCTTTGCTATTGCAGGGTCTTTATCTTACAATATAAAACACCTAGAGGCAACTGATGTTGTGATTTGATGCTATTTAAATAAAACAATTGAAAATTGAATTAAAAAGAAAATGTACTTAGTTGCAATACTTTCTACCACTCTGAAGTATTAAATAGTCTACATAGCAAAATTTATACAAAACTGGAGCTAAAAAAAAAAAAGTCAGGAATTTATCATTTATTTTAATAACCACACACAGACATACAAGCTACATCTTTTAAACAATTGCAACAGATGTCAATACAGTAACCAGACGTACTCTGCTACACAAAGGAAACGACATTTTCCCCACACAAATGTGACATTTGTGGTAAACATTTCCTAATGTTATGGAGAAATAAATAGCTATTATAACATAAGCAAGACAGTGGTTTATCCAAAACAGTTCAAGTCATTATAATATTTTGATAGCTCTTTTAAAAAAAAAGAAAAAGAAAGAAAGTGTTCTCTCCTTTTGTTTGCCTGATGATCGATTAAAAATAATGTAATTTTAAATATACTGTATGTTTAGTGTAATTAGGGAAGACCATTTTGTCTTATTGTGAAAGAACAAAGCAAGAAAATACTATCAATTCACTGTTTCCAGTAACTCAAGAGTCAAATATTTTTCCAACTTTCAACTTTTTAGACAATTTTTCAACTAAATCTGAATCTGTCCATTTGCTAGAGAGACATCTGTGAGGGGCATCAACTGAAATTTCTGACATTTGCAGGACAAAATATTTCATTAATTAGATAATTGAGAAATTAGTCATTTCAATCTACCATATTAATTGCTATTTGCTGCCCTACATTAGTCAAATATTATATTATGGGTAATTAACAGATTAAAATGTATGAATCTGTCCTAAAATACGCAACATTAGCTCCTTTCTAAACGAGCAGCAGCTCTTCATCATATTCAGACTCTTGCTTCATTGTCATTTACTTTTGATCGCTGATGATGAAAAATTCTAGTGACACAGGCAGACAAATTATGACTTCTGCAAGTGGGAACATCGAGTATCATCAAGTCCTCAGATCATTACAGTATTTCAGGAATGGTTCTGATGTCCAATTTCAACACTGAATTCCCAAGTGAACTAGCACCTATGAAATGCAAAGTTGAAACACCTGTGTTGAAATAAATAGTCTAAAAGACTGATCCTGACATTTCTAATTCTAACTCTTAATAAGAACAACAACAATAATAAAAACTTTAATAAAAGTACCTCTTCTGTAAGAATGAAAACTCAGGACATGCAACCCAGTGCACTCCAGATGAATGCAAAGTAATAGTAACTGCTGTCATCAAACCTCCCTCTACTAACAGTCTTTCTCAATTTTTTTTAATTTGCGCAATTCACAGTAGCGTGGGGCCCTTGGTGGTGTAGTTCATGGTTGGGAAGTGCCTGCTGTCTGCATCCCAGTGGCTGAGGGGCTGGTGAGAGGCAGATGGGAGGCTGGGGTTCCAGTGGTTAATGTAGCTGGCCATGAGCAGAGTCAGCTCCAATATCTGACATGAGAGTGAAAATAGATTTTAACAACCTAAAGTCAATGATATGAATGAGTTTTATGTAATTCAGGTGAGCTGGAAGCCCAGAAAATGCCAACTTAATATGTTTACCTTGATTAGGTATATGCAATCTGACCACAAATAGATATATAATTACAATGATAAAAGCAGGAAGTATACCTTAGGTTTAGGCATAGCAAAGACCAGCTTCTCCACGCTCTTCTTCCCGGCTCCAGCCTCCCTCTGTTGGCTCGTGACCACCATGAAATCATCACGACAACCACCAAAGGTAATCACAGACTGGTAGGAGTACGTGACCAGAGTGTGCTGAAAAAAAGGAGCATTGCCAGTGTGAAATCTGCAGTGAAGTGGATATAAACAGAATTCATGTTCAGATTTTATTGCTGACCCCATTATATAGTATGGAATTCACTTAGGAAATCATTTTGGTTTCTCCTTCTTTTTGAGGAGTAAATTGAGTGTGAAGATATGTGACATAATTTCCAGCAACTTATTCTGATTTTCACTTTGTTTTCTCCCATTTCTTTCTGAAGGCACATGGTCTGCACGCCAGACCAAGAATGAAATGAATCAACATGAGCTGCAGAAAATTACAGAGCTCACGTTAGCAAAGTTTACATGATGGAACTGCTGTGTGTCAGGGTCAAGTATGTCAATTCAGAGGCTGGCCGTTTTATTTTCCTTGGGATTTCTGGTGTTTGAAACACCACAGAACGAAAATCATTCCAGACCAGTGGGTCAAGAAAGCTTTGCAGCTGTGTCCTATCCAGCTGCTGCAGCAGTTAAAAGCTATCTCTAGATTTAACAGCTATAAAGTCAAGCCGGAAATTCAATAAAAGAATGGACTTTCTAAATTCTAAATTGTTCTGGCAGCAGATTTTATTCTGAAAACACATGACAGGATGGTCTGCTCAGCTTGAAACTCACCATTGTGTAGTCCAGCACACACAATCCATCCTCATTGACTGCCAGCCACACCTGGCTCTGCTCAATAGTAGAGGGGGGTACAGGCTGTGGACAGGGGAAACAAAGAAGGGTCGTTTTACAGATGTTATACAGCTTCGTCTCAAACAGGTTTGGGCTTGAAAGCTTAGTTCAAGGTTTTGGTTCAAAATGATCTAAGTATGCTTTTTGGTTTTGATGAAGAATCACATCAAGACCGACATTTAAAGATTGATTAGACAAACAGGAGGCGATAAAGTTCACATAGAATAACATCAGTCACAAAACAACAGAAGACATGTATTCAACTTTTTTTTTGTTACCTTGGCACTGAAGAGCTTGGCTCCAAACAAAGGCCATTTCCGAGCCACAGTTAGGTATATTCTTACACACTCGGATGCACTGCACCCACGCAGCATTGACCACTTAGTGGCGAGACGCTCGGTAAGGTCTCTGAGAGGATAAAAGGAACAGTGGTGAGTTAAAATATGGCAGGATAACAAAGCTTTATAAAGTTCTCAAATCAGGTTCTAGATTAAGAAATTGTGGAATGGCACGTTTATTCGTTTTTGGGTTTTTTTTCTTTACTTGAGCTGCTCTGAGCTGCAGTCCTGTTTGTAGCGTTTTGGGTAGAAGCGTTCTAAGGCTTGAAGGAGAATTATTTGAGATTTAGGCTGAGAAGAGCCAGAGGGAGAGGAGGCACCTGGTCTGTCCAAATCACCATGTTCAACCTGGAGGACAAAAGAAAACAGATAGTTAGAAGACAAAAAGGCTTTCGAAAACGCACAAAATCATACATTTCAGCACTGAAGATAAAAGAATAGCATTTTTTTCCTTCCAAAAAGTCTCTTTTTCTTGATAGAATTGTTACAGACCTGGGCCAAGAGGGCAGCCACTTCAAGAGCCAGCTCTTTGTTTACAGGAAAATGGCCTTGCTGGACTTCATCATTCACCTGGTATGCCAGCAGGAGGCGCTCTCGCTCCATTTCTCCCTTTACCTGAGATCTGAAATACAACCTGCATACAAGAGCATATTGTTATTAAGGCCGTTTTCTTGGGAGAAACTGAAAATTGAGATATAACATCAGCATATTTCACTTTGCAGTCTATAACATTTTTAAAAAAAATCTTTAAATACATCTCTATGACTATAGAGTAAAAGTACAATGTTGCTGATGTGTTTGAGTGCTACAAAATTGAGATATGAAAATAGAAGTCATACCTGTTCTTGTATGTTAGGCGTACAATCCGTGTTCCTTCATTTTTCCCAGGATGCAGCTCCTTTAGAGCCTGTTCCCATTTGGAAATAACATCACAGATCTGGGAAAAGCAAAAGTTAGTCTCAAGTCATACAAGCACACATTTTTTCACTCATGTTACAGTGAGCTGGTGATCTAGAGATTCTGATTTGTACACAAACTCTTATATACAGTGCATTGCATGATCCAGACAGACCTATACTTCTGTGGAATGGTGGATTCTTTTAACAACAATAATTAAAAAATCTAGAGGCACTACTTTAAATATGACTGGGTAGAATTAAAACACAGAGAGGTTGTCATATACATCCTATATATACATCCACATCCACATCCTAAGTTGTAAAAAAATGTTTGGACAGTGTAAATTTGCCAAAAAATAATCCCACTACTCACTACTGATCCTCTAACTTATTAGAAAATTTGAGACAGATGATCTACCTTCAAACCACAGAGCCAAAAACCATCAGTGATTTCTGTACAGCAGCTTTCTCCCATCTACTAATGGTCTGTGACCCACAGCCCTACCTTGGCAGATGGCTGCAGGCAGTGCTCCAGGTCTTTGCCAGATGGATCATCAGTGAAGAGGGAAAATCCAGTCAGCTGTGGTTTCCTCATGCTAATCCTCTGGTTCAGCGTGTTGAGGAACTCCTCCACTGTAGTCGACCCATCGAATCCCACTACCTATAGTAGAAAACAAAGGACACAGCTGGCACTGAGTTTCAGATTCTGCAGTGGTTGCAGGAGTTTGTAGTTCCAATGGCAGTCAAAAAAACTGCAACAGCAGATTAGAAATGTAACAGAAATAAAAAGGAGGTTCATTTTCCAAAAAGGACATATACAAAGTACAGTTGGGAAGGTATAGATGCAAACTAAAATATATACAACTAAAGGAAAGCCTAGAGGAAATTTGTGCATGAAGAATGTATTATTTGCTTCTCGAAACAGGGGTATAGTCATTACAACACTTGTGCTAGCTACCTGGTAAGCTATGTGTTACCTGGTAGGTGTTGTTCATGAAATGAACTGGGATGCTGAAAGGTAGTGAATGGTGATAGGGGTTCCGCAAAAGGATGGAAACTATCTCCATACGTGAAGGTTTAGCCTCCCGCTCTCCATTCTGCAGAGTTCGCTCCAAAGATCTCTGACAATACACTGCATATTTCCCCACCTCACTCCTGTATGTGGTGGGAAAAAGGGAAAAGATAATTAGAAGAGGTTTTTATGTATTGGGAGTTTTTCTGCTATATTTTAAGGTGTGGCTTAAGTTAGCTCACCTTGGGTTAGCATTGCGTTGCAGATACTGTCTCAGGTACCACAGAAAATGTTGCTGAGGGAGGAACAGAGCCACACACAAAGACAACAGCTGCCAGCACTGCAGGGAGAGATAGAAAAAGAAGACATATTTTAACTAACACGTTTTATCTTAAAATATATTTTTTAAAAATACATTTTTTAAAAATATATTTGAAGTACATAAAAAAGTACATTTAAAAATTTATGTCTGAGCGCTTTAAACATGGCTCCTGACTCTTTACTGTGTAGTGGGTTGACCTGTGTGAGAGAGTAGTTGTGTGGCGTCCGACAGTTGGTCTGTTTGATGAGCTGACAGTAAATTTCATTCTGCAGCTCTGGGTGGTTCAGGCACACTTGCAAAGCATTCTGGGCCAGCGAGGTGTGGTAATCAATAGATGGAGACTCAACCAGCACATTAATGAAGAGCTGACAGGACTGCAAAATGTCAAAGAAACAAAATTTAATGGCACTGAGCTACCAACAGGTGGAGACAAACACAAACCCAGAAATCTGAACACAAAAGTAAGGGACACATATTGAAAGCAACTTAAAACAGTTAAATTAATACAGGATTGGGTGATCATAACACTCGGGTGAGATGAAAACAACAAAAAATATCCCAGCATGAGGTCAAGAAGAGCTCCAGTGTAAGGGGGGGAAAAAGGGTGAATGTCATTACTTTGTTCTCATTCAGTGTGACAGCTGAAGACAAAGACGCCATTTAACAGGTTTAATCAGTCTTGTCAGTCTCATTAATACTTCAAAGACATGAAGTAGAGCATAGACTTGAAAAGCATGCAACGTCCTTTCATTCAGTTTCATTGTGTGTGTTTGGGACAATTTTTAAGGCTGGATGGTCAGAGAGAGCCGATCTATTCAGCCATCAATCCTAATGTAGTTGGTGGGGCTGTGAAGCATAAATTGGAAGGAAGGGGCTTCTGGTTGACATGAGAGGAAAAGAATCTGCCATCTCCCTACAAGGTCCTTGTTCTGCTCTGATCCCATTTCTTCTTCCCTATCGTGTAGTTTCCATATCCATTGCTGTCACTCTGTGAAGGCCTTGACCTCCCATGTCTCCTCTTAAAAGAGGGCTACCTTCACGCTGGCTCTAAACCACAGGAACAGTTAGCTTCAATGAAAGCAGATAATCAAGGCCATTATCTCTCTTCAACACTTTTGATGAGCTGGGCCCCTCGGTCCTCAGCCTTTGATCTGGTTTAGTGGCAGGAGGGGTGGGGGGGGGGGGGGAAGACTGCTGCAGAGCTCATCCAAGAGTACAAGGGGTTAAAGAGGGGGACAAACTGGAGTGGGATGGATGATGTCTTGAACAGATCCTCACAGTGAGTGGGAGATAGAGAAGTGGAAAGGGATTCCGAGAAAGGGATAAAAGGGAAAAGCATAATCAAAAGTAAGTGGGATGGAACAAAAGAAAGAGAAGGGTGAGAGGTGGGCACACTGACCTTGAAAAGCTTGAGAGCCTCTGTCTGCAGAGCTTCAGAGGGCAGCGTGGTGAGAGGCGTGCGGAGACCCTCCTTACAGAAGCTCAAGGCCTCACTCTTCCACAACACAGACTCTGGGAAAAGACAGTGAAAGACACACATATATAAAAAGGCACAAATATAACACGAGTAGACACAGACAAACAAAGATTGAGTTTCAAAGCTTTAATGACTCAACAGCTGATAAAAATTCATATACGGTGCTACAGTCTCAAACAGTGTCTGCAATGTAGATCAAAATAACATGCAGCATGCTACTGTGTGCATTTATACCCACTTATAGATATTCTAAGCCAGGGGTGTCAAACATAAGGCCTGGGGGCCAGAATTGGCCCAGCAAAGACACCAAACTGGCCCACTGGGCACTCTGGAAAACATGAACTGCAATTTTGCAAGTTTTATAGCTTATCATAATGAAAAAGTCCTGCATCATGGCTATTCATACTATATCAAAGTAATCAACCAATAAACATTGTTCCTGGTTTTATCTACTATAGAAGTGTCTAAAAAATGAACTTTTTTGTCAACGAGCAAAACAATTCTGCTGTATAATTACAAGACAATTTGGCCGATGAGTTACCAGAGCTGTTTTTGTAATTTTACACATTACAAAAATTTACACATTTTACATTTTTTTTATAATTTAAAGTCCAAAGCCAGCCAGGGGATGGAATCAAACTCAAGACATTCTTACTGTGAGGCAACAGTGCTAATCGATGACATCTAATAAATGAAATGACGTCACCTGATTGGCAGCCTATATAACCTGGCTTCCTTTCAAGACGGCTCTCTCTATTCCTTGAAGGCTGCTGCCTTTGAGGCACCCAACTTGATTTTCATTTACTTTGGTTTGATTGAGTTATAGTTCTCCCATTTTTATTCACCTTTTGTCAGATTATGATAATAAATTTGCTTAATGAAAATTGTTATTGTGTTGCTCTCTCTTCTTTTAATGTACTTGAGTGAGCCAGCCATAACAAGCGGGGGCTTGTCCAGGATAAAGTACAAACTTTTGTAACAAAGTAACCGCTGTTTTGGGTTACTAAAACACTATCTTACGAGCTAATGATAGTGACTATGCGATTATAACACCCTGGTGTTTTCCTGTTAATTATCTGCTGTCAATAATTAAAATCAAATAACAACATCAGAAAAAAACATCAGAAAGGTTTGGAGATGATTGAACTATTTTTGTTGAGAAATATGGATTTCTTACCAGGGTCTCCGTCAGCATCAAGCAGTTTACCAATGAGCTGCTCATACTCTGTGCCTACTTTGAAGGCTGCATTGCTACAAGCTGCTACAGTCAGGTGATACAACCAGGTATCCTATGTAAAATAAAACATACTAATTAATATGAAAACAGAATTTTATTTCTTTTTTTGAATGAAAAACAACTCATTAACATATTTATTGTTGGACTACCTTCTCCTGTTTGGTGCCAATGAGCAGATATGTAGGACTCTGGTCTCTCGGTTGGACCACTAAGGTGTAGTGGGAGGAGAGAAAACCTCGAGAGCCTGCCTCATAGTCCTCATCTGAATCGCAGGAGCGATCTACTTCCTGAACTGATGCCTCCCGCATTTGCAGCTGACCCAGAGGAAGCTGAAAAAGAGAAAGGCAAATCAGCATCAGCTAGGGAGCACTAAAATAAGTCTTGTCATGTCAGGAGTAGAGAGATGTTTGTTTAATAGACCTTGTCCTCCTGGTTGCGATAGTAGTAGAAAACCTTTCCAACCAAAGAACACCACACTAGTTTTGAGTGGCCGTGTTTGACCTGAAAGCACAAGACAAAAAAATAAGCAAAGTTTCAGGACAAATCCAAAGTTACCAGGAAGTTACTCACTACAATGAATATATGATATTAGAAAGCTTGTGAATTTCTAGACAGACTGAAATATGATCATTAGGAAATTTCTGCTTCTGTCCATCTGTTAGGAAGCCAGTGTGAAAATCACTTAAGAAGTAAAGTGCAAGCTAATTCCTGCCAAAAGAAAACAGTCCATCCACATACACGACTCCCCTGCTGCATTCATTCAGTGTCATATTAAACAGTGATGCAGCTGGAGATGATAATCACATGTCATTTTCCCGAGAAGGGGTTCTTTCAAAGCGTTTCTTGTATCTGAATGGAGCAATGATGTCACTGGAGGATGCCTTCCAGACGAAGCCAGCTGTGCTTCCCTCAGAAGGGGGTTATCGAGGTTAACTAAGCTCTGAGAGGAAGAACATCCCCAGCCTTATCTGTTATCATGTCACAACAGATCAAAGCCAACTCACAGGAAGGGAGTATGGTGTTGGTGAGAGGACAAGGGCTCCATCATCTTAGCTTGGGGTTGTCAGTCATCTGCCAGTAAGTCATCAAACACACACGCACGCGTCAGATGTTTAAGTGTTTTAATTTTAGCAAAACAAGCAGGCCTCAGTTAAGAAAAGGCAGGGGGAGACTAGAGGAAGGTGGAGGGAAAGAGGAAAGAAGCTCTGCAGTGTTCCAACAGCTCTAATCTTGTGGTGTTGTCCCAACATGAAGGAGTTCTTTTAAGAATCTGCTTTAAGAGTGCTCTATTCAATCCTCACTTAAAGAGTGCCCACTGTATTATGGATTATATCTGCCATGTTTTCCTGCATTGTCTTTAAAAGACAAAACGCTTCTAAAAGCCTATAAAAAATATATGTTTTTGAGTGTTATACAACTACCCCAACAAGCAGAACTTTAATATCATATCGAAATACTTCCTACTTTGAGATTCGGATGACAAGATTGTTAAAGTTGTGATTGTCAGTGTGATCTTTGATATAACTTTTAGCACTGCACAAATCTGAATGCACTCTCACCAGAGGCCCACATATGATCACTGTGCAGTCTCTTATCCATCTTTATATTTTGTTTGGTTCACTAGAACTAAAAATGTTTAAATAATGACTTCTGACCTTCGTAAGCCAACCTCTCACAGAGGGCTTTGCAGTCGTCTCCATGGTAAGTGGGCTACTAGCCTGAACTTTGAGTATATTCTGCAGAACCCTGATCCACTCCTCCAGGATGTTGGGTGAATCCGCGGTCAGATAGAAGGTCTTCTTCTCTGTAATCAGCTGATTAGATGGAAAAGAGAAATATGGGAAAAATGCTAAGCCAAGCCAACTGAGACAGCAGCATCATGTCAGAAGAGATCAGAATCAGCTTATGAAGAGCCATGAAAACATTCCAGTCCGATGCTATACCTGATGTCATCTCAGGCCGCTTCTGTGGTATGCAGCAGTAAAGCTCTGTTGTTATTTAGTGCTATATTAAGCACGCTGTGTGTGAATGAGCATCCTAGTGCAAAGTCTGTCTCTTTTTTTCTTACAGTTTTAAAACTGTGGATTCTAACCAATAGAATAATTTAAATGCTTTGAGTAGTAGTGCCAATTTTGGGTATCCTATGTTTGAGATCTCTTACAGAAAAGCAGTGTGTTTGCACTCACTTGAAATGTCTGCGCTCCTTCTCCACGTACTATGCAGCAGGAAGAGTTTAGCTCAATCTGACCCTGAGGTTTCCTGATCACGTCACTCTGAAAACACATGCGTAAAAACACCACAACTTCTGTCCAAGATTATACAGAAATACAACCAAAAAAACAAACAAACCCAAAAAACAAAGAATGCAGTGAGCACGAATGAACATTGTTATATTTAGATATACAAGTTGTAAATAACACATGCCTTTACTGCAGCCATCCTGTACTTAAACACACCAATCTTCGAAATATTTCTACAATGTTTTCCATGCAGGCTGAAAAACCTTAGAAGGAAGCAGACAGGCATGCTCGAAGCGAGACACACTCACAGGAGATTTGTAGTACAGGATCTCTCCATTCCTCAGGATGAACCAGCGGCGCTTCCAGGCTTTCACCTGACTGCCCATCTTGAGCAGATATCCAGACTTCTCCAGCATCTCCTACAGACATAAACAGCACAGGTAAAGTTATACTCAATAACTGTGACTGATTAATCGCTGGTATACTAGTGATTATCTTGATTAAAGAGTTTAAAGTGGAGGTGCCTCTACTCACAGGCCCAGTGCTCTCACAAGAGTAGGATGAGGTCCGCTGGACTTTATGCTCTGGTTCAGAGTAGTCACTGTCTAGGGAGTAGGCATCAGGAGGAATGGCATAATCGCTCTCTGAACTGATGGAGGACATGGACACACCTGGGGTACCAGAGAATCATGGGGAAAACAGAAGAAGACACAGAGGCAAGGTAACTTAAGGAGTGTTGGTAAAGGCCAACATTGCAATTAAATATTCATATTTTACAGAGAACAAAAGATTCAAGACTATTGCACTGTTGCAATGCAGTTTTTTGCATATATTGGGGTTTTTTCTGTGCCGTCTGCACTGTAATCCATAACAATCACCTCTCTTGACAGCTCTCGGGCTGCCAGGGACGCTTCCCTTCCTATCAGGGCTCAGAATGGAGGTCCGCACGCTGGCCAGAGAGCTGCTATCATCCTCCGACCCAGAGTCATCATCTGGCAGAGGCACACTGCTGATCTGAGTGGCTTTCTACAGCACACAAAATAAAATAATACAGATGAAAGGTGGTGTTGTGCAACACATAGTGTTGTTAGGCTCTATATTATCATCCAAACCGGACAAAGTTAAGCAAATGTGAAAACGCAAAGAAAATTTCACTCACCCCTTTCAGTGTGGTGTATACTGGTACGCTGATATTCTTATAGATCAGCTGAGTGAACGGGCCTGCTGCTGGATACTGGGGTAAGTTGGATCCTGCAGCGTAAACATGTATTAAAGGACAAGGAACATTTTTAACAAGGTCTATGCTTATTTTAGGGTTATATGCCCCATAGACATGTTTGGAGTAGTGGTCTGTGTAGCACTGATTTCTAGCTCTGTTCCACTTATTAACTACATTAGAGATATGGCCAATGTGATGTCATCCAGTCAACAAAGTCGGTATGAGGATTTTAGCCACTGCTGCCTTTTTGTTTCAAACTGAATGCAACAAACAAAGTCAAACCCAAGGGACACTACACCCATGAGTTAGCCATAACCTAAAACATACCCTGGTTCACCATCCTTTTTTACTCCAAACGGCCATAATTTACAAAATGGTAAATGGGCTTATTCTTATATAGCGCTTTTCTAATCTAAGCCCTTTATATAACTTGCCTTGTTCACATAAGCACTTGTTTTTATGCTCTTTCCATGCAAGTCCTTTCTATCTAATGTTCACATGCATTCATACTCAGATGGATGCATCAGGGAGCAACTTGGGGTTAGTATCTTGCCCAACGATATTTGGCTTGCAGACTGGAGCTAACAGGGATTGAACCCCCAACCTTCTGATTAGTAGGTGACCTGCTCTACCTCCTGTCCCTTTCAACATCAGAATGTTTTTTGTATGTAATTTGTATAGTACTTTTTTTCTCTCTTATTTTCTTTTCTAAATGTACTTGTATATTGTTCACATGTTGAAATAAATTAACAATGGAAATGTTGTATTCAATTAGACACACTAGTAACTGAAACACTAAACTCAGATTCAGAAGGCTGAGTGGTTGTTTTCCCGTAAGCTTCTATACAGTCTGATCTGAGGAGCTGCCTCTCTCTGGCTATTAGAGTTTTAAGGCACTTTTCAGATGATAAACTGCCTATGGTTCAAAATAAAAAGTTCAAATCCACCGGCACTTTGAGTGAGAGAGAGAGCGGGGAAAACAGTGCATGTAACCAACTGCAGACCTGTTGCCCACCATGGGTTAAAGTGGGTTGGAATGATACAGAAAGCCATTCTGGCACCTTCAGTTAATGAGTAATTAATTGGTGGTTTAAGTTCGTTTAATACAAAGTGCGATGCAGTGCAAGTTCATTTTTCATCTGCAAATTGGTGGTCATTTTAGCTGATGCCACAGAGACATTTAAATTGCTACATGATTCCGCCGCACACATTTATGACACGTGAACGTTTTCCATGCAGCTGTCTGCTAGCTAAGGATACAGTGTCTGCATTTTCCAGGAAGATGAAACATTAGTTGTGTGATAGCTTTACTGTCTGAAATAAAGAAAGATATATATAAAAAAAGAGAAAACACAAGAGGAAGATATTCTTTAAAAAGGTAAGAACTAAACAGCAAGTAACATTATGTAATCTGGAAATTTAAAGCTTATATCCAAGTAGCCATAATGGCTCATGTCACATGCGTGTATGGGTTGTAAAATATAGTTGAGCAGGAAACAACCTCGGAACCAACAGGAGCACAGGTCAGCCAATCACAGCCTGTGTACAAAGAAAATCTACCGGAGCTCACAACAGAAATGATTATGTCATTTATTTCTAAGTGTCAAAAGACTTAAAAAAATGCACAATTATGAGTAGATTAACTGGGATGAAATAAACTATGATCAGAATACAGTATACAGTAGTGAGGACAGTGAGTAAAGTAAAAGGAAAAAACAGTAATCCAGTTTGCTAGTATCAAAAGAGTCTCCAACATTTTCCAGCAGTCCTTTGCTTTAATCAAAATCGATATTAGCCGCAGCAGCAGCAGCAGCTTTGTTTTCCTCCTAACTTTGCTCCCTTGCCATCTTTGTTTCAATGCAGACACTTACTTCCACACATCTGTGCTAGCTGTTAGCCTTCTGCAACTCCAAAGTTTGGTAACCTTCTGCAACACCAGCAAACGTCAAAGACGAATGAGCAGTGTTTTAAGGCCAGCATGTTTCTTGTCAACCAGAATCCATCTATTGCCCCTAACCAGGACTTTTAGCAAATCTAATAAAGCACATCAGTCATTGTCAGGATGTTGATTAATATATGTATTTTAACTGTGCTTCATTTCACACTAAGGACATTTTTTAATGCATTTTACCATTTTAAAAGGTAAAAAGTACTCTACTATAAAGTAAGACAAATCAGGACAAATCCATTTTTACACATTTTTCTATCCACTGAAAGGAAATTTTTAAATTATCTTCATGTAAAACAAAGTTTAAAAAAAATTACTTCCCATGGTTTAATTGGGTGGATACCTGAATTTGCCTGCCACTGATGCAGCTTAAGAGAAAAACATGCCTGGAAGCTGAAAAAGCTGAGCAAGCAGCAACTTAATCCATAACAGTGATTTGGCAGTCAGCTGCATGTACATAGCAGTTACAAATTTCAATCGTCCAAGTGCTGTCAAACTTTAGCTCCTGCATCCTGACAAAATGGATGATGTTGCAGCAATAATTACACCCAGACCAAATCCTTTCATCGCAGCTGATTAAAAAGCAGCCTCTCTATATACCCCCCCTCCAAGGCTCTAAATAAAGACAAGGTAGGGAGGGGGCAGTCCTCCTGGAGATCAGCCCACACCTGCACAGGTGTGGCGAGCCTCAGGCCAAAGGAAGTGACATCAAAAGCAGCAATGACAGATCCAAACAGACCCCGCTCAACCCACACATCAGCTCAAGCATCAGCTGAATGACATGCCTCTTCACAGTACTGACTCACTTCCCACAACAGAAGCACCACCACCACCACCCAAGCTGAAGACACAGATGCAGAACAATGAGCACAAACCCAATGTTATAGTGGAGAAAATCTTTTTTCTGGCATCCTGATTACAGACTTTAATTCCTTGTTATAGTATAACCGTTTTGATGACTGAGTGGATGACTAGCTTCTTGCTTCTGGGTGCAGGGGACTCACCTCGTCCAGGGCTTCTGCCTCCAAGACTGGCCTCTGACACTCTCATTCCTGACTTAGCCACAGCGTAGATCCGACTCTCCTGCAGAAAGCAACACAGTCAGAAATATTCATGATTATTCAACTTAAACATGACTACCACCTTCAAAGAGACAGATAGGTATTTTGGCACTTGGTAAATCTTTAAGGAAACAGCATGACATACTGCAAAACATTAAGAAAATTAAGGTAATGCATGCATTAAAAAACAAACAAACACAACAAAAAACAAGAAGCATTCATATGTTGCATATTTAATACTTGTCTCTCATACCCACGAAGGGAATCGATGTAAAGGCGGTGTTGGCGGTTTGAGAACTTCCGGATCTAATCGGTCTAACTCTTCTGCAAGCCCCACAAATGAAACCCCATCCCGGGGCAGCTCATCTGACGCTGGGCCCTCCACTACTCCATCCATGCTGTCTGGGAGCCCATCATCAATGTCGGTCTCTTCCACAACCTGAGAGAAAGGTGAAGAGGTGGTGCCTGCGCTCTTAAGAGTGGAGGAGGTGGAAGAAGGTGACATAATGTCTATGTTAACATTGAGGTGGTGGAGTTTGTCCAGGCTGGGCTGAGGCTGGCTGTAGTGCTTCTTGACCAGCTGGATGCTGTCTCTGGGGGTGAGGGGAGTCCGTACCTTAGGTAGCGTCATGCTGGTGCCTGACTGGTTACCCAGTGGCTGGTGAGGTTTGGGAAAGGGATTGCTGGTGGAGGGGGAACGAGAGAGCAGCACACTGTTGGGTGCCATTATAAAAGACGACTCTGGAGAACTTGATCCATGTGCCATCTCGTAGGCCGAAGATGAAGATGAAGAGGATGAGGACGAATGAAGGCACTGAGAGCGAAACTTGCTATTGAGCTCATCAGATGAGTTGTCTCTGTCAGAGGACCCTGCCTGACCCTCTGTAAGCTCTGGTGCACTGATGGAAACAGAAGTGTTGCTCCGACTCTGAGAGAGAAGATCATGAGTGAGGTCTCCGAGGCAAATCCCTTTACTGACTTGTTCAGGAGTCCTTTTCACATCTGAGGAAATACAAGAGTGTGATTAAATCTGAGACAGCCTATTAAAGAAGCGGAGAATGCTGATAAAAATGGTTTATTACATTTGTTTATCACAGAGTGCCACGCTTCAAGGAGCTAGACTTTCTTGTAATTTTTCAAAGTGGCCTTGAGCAATACTTTTCTGGGATTTCTGATGGTGTTTTAAAGGTTTTCTTGGGACACTGGATGCTTTTTCACTCATTATCATTCCAGTCCTGGAGAATGATTCATTAGCTTGTTAACTCACCTAACTCTGGCCTATGAATCATTCAAGCATAAAAAAAAAGGCGCCTAACCCAAGGGATGAGCCAGTGATGTATCAACATGGAACAGACAACTTAGCAACAAACCAATTTCTAATTGTATCCTTAGCCAATTTGTTACTGTCAGCCACTCACAAAAACACATAATTTCCACCAATTTCTTTAGCTGAATCGATGACATGCCAAAGATAACAGTTTGACAGGCATAAAACAGTATTTTTGCACCAACTAGGTCATTCCCAAATAGCCATTATCCAAAACTGCATATTTCAGCATCGTGTGCAGTGTGTGATTAAAAGAAATTGAGCAAACAACATGTGGAGAACAAAAGAAGAAGTGGTAGACCTAAACAAAATCTCCAGCAGATGAGCAGTATTTGAAAAGTTATGGATTGGCCTTGTCAGACCATCATCGTGTCAGCAACATCACTGAAGCAGTGTGGGATCCAGACAGAGAGCAAAGCAAAAGGCAACAAACATCCAAAGAAGAGCTTTGGATGTCCTTCATGAAACCCGGAGAACTATTCCTGAAGACTATTTAGCACATTAGAAGAAAGCTTGCCTGAGAGAGTTCAGCCTGTGTTGCAGAATAAAGGTGGTCATACCAAATACAGACTTTCAAGCTTGTTAGAATTGTAAACACTGTAGTTCCATTTGTGTTTCCATGTATTAATAAATCACTGGACCCATTTCCCTAGCATAATATAAAGAAATGAGGAGTGTCTCAAGACTTTTTCACAATATTTTATTCATATTATTTAAAAATTACTCTTTGATTTTTTTTTATATTGGACTAATAAGCAGCAATAAACATTTTGGATACCCATTTGAATTTGTAATGGTTTAAAATCAGCCTCAAGTTTCCCCCCATTGTTACTGGTTCTACCTGGTCATGCGATGTGCCCAGCTTGCATTCCTTCCCCATCCCAGCATAATACAAATTAAGGACAGCACACCTGCTGGTGGGGTCTTGATGTTTGAGCTGGCCCTGCGGGAACCTGTCTGTCTCCAGCTGTCATCTTGGGCAGGTGGTGTGCCAGGGCAGCTGGGAGGAAATAGGGGGCTGTTGGGCACCAGGTGTGTATCCATTACCGGGGAAGTGGCCGGGGATGCAGAGGATGTAGGTTTCTCTAAGAGGGCTAGAAAAGAAAGACAACGCCACTATATTTTGAAGTCTGAGATCTCAAGGGTTTCTCCACTTTGACTGTTATAGTTTATAGTCTCTAAACACCTGCACAGTACTCACATTGCAGTTTGTCTTGCAGCAACATTATCTGTTCTGTCTGCTTCAGGTTCGCCATTTTCAGCTGCTGGTTTTCTTGCTCCATCTGTAACTCAGCATATATGCGACATTAACCACAAGTCAATGTACTACTACTACTACTAGTACTACTAAACTCTATAAACTAGTTATTAGGGATGCATCCATACATATGTTACCTCTCTTAGCTTAAAGGTGACCCAGTCTTTAATCTTGGCAGCCTTCTCCTCAATGACTTTTGCCTCCTGGGCTCTGACTAAGATCTATAAGCCAGAGAAAACAGGTTTTGTGGAATTTTTCAACATACACTTCATGAACATAAATGGACATTTCTGTTCTTTATCTGATGGCTCCAGACATACCTGTTTTTCCAGCTGCATCTCTAATCTCTTTATTACAGCATCTTTCTCTTGAACCTGATTGGTCAGCTCTTGATACTTTCTGTACAGCGAGCTCTCGGATTCATTGGTTTGTATGTTCGCAGACTTCAGCTTCTCTTCCATGACATGGATCTGAAATACATAATTAGAGGAGTGAATGCACACGCAGGGCCAAAAGACAGCTCAAATTTACGTGGTTGTTTAATTTTGATGGGCACTACACAAAGCCAAAAGAACTGTTTTCTAAGCTCTTAGGTATTTATCGTTTTTTAAAAACAAGAAAAAAGAAAAAGAAAAAAAGAGATGAAATGGTGCCATTAAATTACCACTTGGGGAAAACACCTGAAGTAGACAGTAATGACAGCAAATTAGAGATTAAACCTGACACCAAAAGTGGCTGAGTATGTGTGATATCTATGAGGATTGTAATCCTAAAACCACACAATCCTTTTATTAAGTCCCATTAAAGGCTTACAAAAAACTCTGTCAGGTCAGGCTGGATTTTCTTTTGCTGTAATAATATACAGAAATAATATACAGACACCGTTCACCTACTAAAGATGAGTACAGCGAGTCGAGTATAAGCTGAAATGGTGCCCGTCTACCTGTTTTTCAGCATGCTCAGCCCGCTGGTCAGCCTCGGTCACTCTCTGCTCCAGCTCCTGCATCTGAAGCACGGACAAAAGATGAGGTTAAAATGGTTTCTGACTTGGGTCAGCTGTCTCTGTTTGCCAAGGAAGTGGGTTGAAGGCTTGGGTGGTCAAGGGAAAATCCCAGGCTCTCACTAAGTTAAAGGTTGACTTCTTGCCCTCTGTGAAAAGTTATGTTTAATTTAAAGATTAAAAACCATCTACAGGTGCTATTAACACAGATCATACAGGCCTTGTTGTACGGATGTAACTCCAAGCTAGAAGTTTGCCTGGTATACAAGCAAACACCTGCAAGAGTGTGCAAAAGTAACACACTTAGTCCTTAATAATCACTACTACTACTGAAAAGACATTTAAAAGATGAATGTAGCGAGACATTTTTAACAGAGCAGCTATAATAGGAAAGCATTTTAATAGATGGGACATTTCAGAATTAGTAACAGGATAGTGAAAGTGGCAGAGAAAGTAAAATAAAGGGTAATGAGGATTCAACAAAGTCTGAGGACATCCAACAATGAATTACACCTTGAGCAAAAGGACATAGGCATACTGCAGTCATAGCTGAGAGGCCCTCAGACGAGGCTGAACATCTTTCACTCTACCACTTCTGGTCAAACACAAGTGTGATGGAATAATGCTAGGGTGTGTGCACAAGCTTGCGTCACCTTTTGTGCAAGCATGCATACTCATGCTTTCAAAGGCAAACACTGTCCATCCTGCAAGTATGCACACATCTGCAAGGACTGTCTCTCTCAAACACACACACATACAGAGAAGTGTTTGCACAGAATACACAGGACACCTTTTCTTATGAGGTCAGTGACCCTGCTGAAAGGAGAACAAACATACTAATGGATTCACTCTGCTTGAGAGATGCATTTGAATTCCTCTCGAAATTTTTGTTCCCCTTTTCTTTGTCTCTCTCAATCTTCCTTTATGCCTTCTCATCACCTCGACAAAGGCCCCCTGATTCCCAGAATCCAACATTCACAACATTTGAACACTTCCCCGCAGCCGGCTTAACACTCACTAAAGCCAGAGCACATCTGCAATGGGAGATGTGGGTGGAGACTGATGGTTAGTGGTTGGATGACTGCTCACCTCAAGGTCAAAAGCCTTCATCATGAGTCAAGCTCAACCCGTACTTGTCTTTATTTAACAAAACGGAATCGGAAGAGGCTAAAAAGGACTTTAGGTAATGGCAAAGTACTGCAGAGATCACAGTCTGGACTTCTCTGCCACACAGTTTTCACAGGTACAAAGAACCTTCGAAGGAACTCTACCTTGGGAAGTTCTGGGAAAATAGCACTTTTCTAAAAGGATAAGAACTCTGGGAGTGCTTAACATTTTTAACTGATTGAGTATTTGGAACATTTGATTTCGTTTTTGAAACATTGTTGCAGTTTATGCAGTTTGTCGATACTTCAACACAAGTTTCAGCAGAAAGCATGCAACACACGGACCAATGAAAAGGTTCAGATTGTATTAATTATTTACGCTTCTTCTTCCGGCTGGTTAGTTAAGGGGTTACCACAGTAGATCACCCGTCATCCCCCTTCTGTCATACTAACCATCTAAATGCCCATAAATTCATAAATCCTTCTTTCCATTTTTATTGTTTCCTCCAAATGTGTCTTCTCTCTCTTCACTGTCTTCAGCCAACAGTCGGACGGTTTCCACCAAGCCCAAGCCGGCCAACAACACAAGAGGCGGTCATTATTAACCTAACTCATATGAAATTCTTATTGATCATCTGCATGTTTGATTTGCCAAAGATTTTATGCCAGATGCCCTTCCTCGAGCAACCCTCCCTATTTATCCAGGCTTAGGACCAGCATTAGGAGCACACTGGCTTGTGCCTGAAGAAATGCCTCATCGTGTTTAGTGGACAGAAGGAGTTGGTTGTTTGATTGTGGGTCATGGGATTAAAGTAAAATCTAGCAAACACTCTTAATGTAAACCCTCCTGTGTGGTCTTTACAGAAAGTCAAATTGTACACATAAGGCGCTAGAACTACAGTCATAAATTAGTTTGATCAAAGTAATATGGAGTGACAATGATAAATGAACAGGAATGCTTTTGAATACAGTTTTTAAACAGTCTGTGCTGTTGCAGCGATAAAAATAAACCGAGTGCTTGGATTGATTTGATTAGTCAGTCTATATAATCAAATGGCTAAGCTGATGGCAACAAACTGACCTTAAGCCTTGAGATATGGATACAGACAGTGTAATCTGGAACTGTTATTTAAGCTCTGGTTGTTTAGTTATGGAACAGTCCAACTGAGGCCTGAGTTGCTTAACAGGAGTGACACAGTTATATTAGCTATTCTGAATCGGTCAGCCCACAGTGCAACACATCACCTTGTGCTGCTGAGAATTCTTAAAATGGATAAGCTGGAAATTAAATTTTGCAGTTGTTTCTCTAAAGTTATTCTTTAGAGAAAGAACTAGTAAGCAGTTGATAAACTACACTGTTCCCAATCCTTCAAATCCACACTAATTTGACTAGCAATTACTGCCTTAGTGGCCAAAGATATGACCCCAGAAAAACACATCAGTGAGCCACACTTTTGCACTGGGTAGTTTATTTGGAGTCGGACCCACATACATGTCTTACTGTCATAAATACTCTATAGGGTAGCCAATCCATAACTGAAAATAGTCTCCAACAAATGCACCTCCCATTTGTGTAACGTAAAACTTGAGAACCCAGCTGTTTAACTCTTTTTAAAGGATATGCTGATAATTATGTTACCAGATTCATCCTTCAGTGTGTGTCTCTCACACACTCGCAGGCAAAACCTTGTAGGTAATTTTGTTTTAGGTTTATATTGACTGTGCGGGACTGATAACAGAGTGGTGGAGATAAAATGAAAGCAGGCAAGAGACAGCAGATCATCCATTTCCCAGGCAGCTAACAGATATGTCACAACTAAAGATCTGTTTGCTTTTGCTGCCAAAACCAAGTGACAGAAATCTGAGCCCACAGATTGTATTTCAAGCCAGCTGGCTTGATTATCTAAATCGGAGATTCTCCTCCATTCCCAACCCAGACTCGCCTCTACCAAAATCATTTTCATTCTGTTGCTTTAAAACATTTGCACTCATGTCAGTAAGATAGATCTATTGGGCTCAATAACTGCAAGAGGTTCTGTGGTGGCAAAACAAACCCAAAACATCACCCCTCCACCACCGTGCTTGACAGTATGAGATGTCTGTGCTGATATGCTGTGTTTATGGTGCTGCACATTATGACCAAAGATCTCCGTGGTCTTGGAGATGTACGGAATAAGGATGCATTTCATTTTTCACAGGACTGGATAACTGTGAAAATGTTTTTTACATGACTGTATTCTTTAAGGATCCCAAAATGTCATAGTTACAATTAATTTTCTTTTCTTTTATAATACTCATGGTTAACACTGATCACAAGGGCCACTACATTACATTACAGAGAAAACTGTAAAAGATAAACCGTCTAAAAACGGGTTTCACAGTAAAAGATTTGCCAACTGAGGCGTTCCACCTGCCTCCCAATGTTAAACATCAACTTTGCACAGTTGACAGCTAAACTCTCCCACTCAGTTATTAAATATTAAAACCGCTTTTTCCCCCTCAAAACAAGTTAAAGAAATAAAATACTGAGAAATGATAATAATACACGCATACATACGTGAGGTGAGCATTAGGCACCGGTTGCCATTATGCATTTCCTTATGTTTAAATTAACTTTTTACAATGAAACATGCATGGACATGGGGAAAAGAGGTAATTTTATCAGCAAGACAGACGATAAAATGTCAGAAGGTTTCATAGGCTACAAAGAAGTTAAACAGCCTTTATATCAAGTCCAGACTTTTACAGTTAAACTATTAAAAAGGCGGCTGATCCAAACAAGTCTCCTCATGAAAATAAATGTTTATGCACACCAGTGTGTACTTGGTGACCTCTCTGCAGCCCTCCTTGCTGACTGAGAACACTTGTCTAAGTCAGATAACAGCATTTTACTCCTGGGGCCATGTAAGGCTTATGGGAGAGATTAATTCAATTTGTCCAGCATCCAATTAGCCAAGTAATGAAAGGAAACCTAGAAGTGGGAAGGCCACCCAATTTAAAAATTCCTCTGAATGAGGTATAGCCAGGACTGCCTAATTAGATGTGAAACTCTAAACTTTCTGGATTTACCTCCTCAAAGCTCCAAATCCACCAACTCCCATTGAGGTTTCTGATTGAACTTTTCATCTAAAAGTCACCTCTTGTGAAGGGTCCCTCTGACTTCTAAAGTTTTCTTTTCTGTACAGAGTTAAAAAAATGTATTTGTTAAAAATGCTGTGAATGGCAGGTCAGTTGTAACTAAATGTATTATTTTAGTCATTTCTAGGGAGGATTTTATTGCTTTGATCACTTCAGTCAGTGTGTTTAAATGAAGTTTGCTAGTTTTGTTTCCTTTAGATTACCGTTCATTTGTTAACATGTATGCCCTCCCTTCAAATTATTAACTTTGGCTTTTTGGTGGCTCCAAAAGCTGCATTTGCTATTTTAGAAACTCTTCAATTCTTATGGAGAAGTTTCTTTTTTTTAGGCTAACTGCCAACCACCATAGGTTACACTTTCCCAGTCTACAGTTAAAACTCAAACAAATTCCTGAATGCAGTAATCTTCCTGTTACACTCCTCGCATAGCAAATGGGGCATCTCCTTCCCTCTTTCTTTTCTCCTTCACTCTCCGTCAGCCTCTCGAGATAAATGCCATGTCACAGGCAACCGCGTCAAATTTTTTTTTTCATGTTTTTCCATACCAAAGTGGGTCAATGTGTAAAACACTCCTAACTTGGCAAGAGAGGAGATGAAGAGCGTGAAGCAGTCTTTCCAAACAGCAATAACATGACGGAATGGTAGTCACTCAGCACCCTCCCCCCTCAAGAAAGCTCAGAAAAAACACACTCAGCAGCACGGGACTCCACTTAAACCCAGCTCCGCACTGTGTGTTTGTGTTTGTCAGAGTTTACAGTGTGTGTATATGTTTATAACAGAGCGAGCGAAGGAGTAAGTGAGAGATTAATTAACCTTTTCACAGAAAAACGAATGTTTTAGCAGCATTGCCAAAAAGAACATTTAACAATGAATGTGTGGTTTTTATTGGACAGAAAATGAGAAAGAGAGTAATTAGTCACTTTTCAAAAAAATAAAGTTTGAACTCTCCTGTTTTAGAAATGAGAAACAAACAGTGAGAATATACAGTATAGCTCCCTCACACATGCACTCCAGGCCTGAGCTTTTCTAGTCATTACATGGCACAGCTGCATGCATCTGACATTGAACTGATTTCACCCTTGCAGGCTCCAAGCACAAATTATGTCTGACCTTAAAGGTACAGTGTGTAATATCTCTGCTAGATGTCGGAGATTGGAGGCTACAGTCAACTTAATTCTGTTTTCTTACCCCTCCTAACTCAAGTGCATAATCCTAACAGTAGGACAGAAAACTCTGGCTGCTGTTTATCTGTGACAAGTGGACGCTGTCAGTCTGCAGTTTACCTCAGCTGGTGTCCACTGTTATTTACTCTGGAGTAGATTGTAAACTTTATGAAAGGAGACGGTATACGAGTCGATGAGGCAACTTCTGTCGATGACAGTGAAACTCATGCGAGTTCTTGAACTTTTCTATCGGTAATCTCTGCTATTTTTGATACAACACCTTCTTTCGTCTGATTTCACCCAGCAAGAGCCAGTAACCACCTGAACTAGTGGTGGGTGGATCGATCCAAATATCGATTATATCAATACCAAGTCAGCATCGGTATTGGATCGATACTAGCTTGGTGAGATCGATTCTTTACTTTAAGTTCCGCTCTTGTTTGCAATGCTGTGGTTTCAGGAAAGACAAAGAAGCCTGGTCGCCGGACTCACTGCTGCTATGTCAGCACAGAACAGGCACGCTTTGCTCCCCCTACCCCCTCTTGTGTTTAGCTGTTGCACTGTCACGTGACGTGACTAAGGCTACGTCCACACTAATGCGTTTTCATTTGAAAACGCATCATTTTCTCTCTGTTTCGGCCTCCCGTCCACACAGAGACGGCGTTTTCCCCGAGTAAAAACGCGCTCTTGAAAAAGCATACACTTCAAAACTGAGCTGTCCCGTCGCAGTGTGGACACTCAAAAACGATGATGCATTTTAGTCATGTGATGCAGTCATGTGACCAATTACACAAAGATAGCGCAGGGCATTATACAGCAGTTGTTTTGTTTGCTCTCAGACAGCCTTATTAAAGATTAATATCAGTCTGTACATGCTCCAGATAGCTTTTCTTCAAATTATTTAATTCTCACTCGCTTTGGTAACTTTGTATTTTTTGTGTTACTCGCAGCAACAACTCCACCTCATTGTTAGTCCATTTAAAAAACTCAGTGCTTTTCCTCGACCTTTTGCCGCGACGTTTCAAAGAGCCGGAAAATAAATAAACAGCAGACAGAAATGAGGCAGGTAGAATCTTCTTGCGTTTCACGCATGCGCAGTACTGGAACGTAAGCATTTTCGTCCGTTTCAGTGTAGACGCACAACTCTGTGAAAACGACTGAAAACGCTAGTGTGGATGTGGAGTGTTTTCAGACGGAAACGCCGTTTTCAAATCTATCCGGGCTAGTGTGGACATAGTCTTAGACGCTTTGGGGGAGGGGTTAAGTTGTTTACATAATATTTATATTTTCACCAGTTGTTGTTTGTTGTTGTTGAGAATTTTAATTGTAATTTTTGTATTATAGTTTCAACAGTACTTGTTTGTTTTCATTTGTTTACTGGTTTGCATGCATCCACCTTATTTATTGAAAAGTATCGGTATCGGCGATACTGGCCTGTATTTACTTTGTATCGGATCGATACCAAAATATGCAGTATCACACACCACTACTGTGAACCGTTGCCAACCAATCAAGGAATACAGATTTTTCCCTAGCATTTCCAGTATTGAGGTTTTGCAGACATGTGACCACTAACCATGTGACATTAACTTGTGGGCAATCATACTGACAATGTAGGGTCAAGTAAATAAAATCACAGACACCCAGGCCTAGAGTCTAATCTGCTAACCATGTGGCAACCACTAGTCGTGAGGGAAAAATTAATATTCTGACTGATTTTGAGTAGCTAGCAGTAGTTCCTTCAGCAATCACAAGGAAAATGATTCCTAAAGCCCCAGCCTGCAGACCAATCAGTGACCCCCTGGCAACTGTCTCTTCAGAAACGTTTTCACACTTTTTCATGTTTTAATATCACTGAGTTACTAGGTAGTGAGTATTTGCAATGCGGTGAATAAGATGTGAAATGAAACCATGGCAGTCTGTATCAACCAAAGCAATCACTCAGAGGTTTTTGGTTCAGCGTCTTCTTTATGGTTTCATCCGACACGAGCCAGCAACATCCAGGAAGTAGTGTCAATAGGTCGGGGAACACAAATCTTTCCATAGCAGCCTGTGGTTGTATTACATCCGATATGGTGGACAACTTTCAAATAACGTGCACAGTACTTGATACCAATACCCAGGAAAATCCTTGATACCATAGGGAAAGAAATTAAGAGGTTGCTTTATAAAGAGCTAAGCAATATAAACAATAACATCAGTAACAATATTGTGTTTAAGTTAGATTACTGTAGTTCATTTGCAATTTAACAGTAACATACAAGATGAACTCGGTTGCGCTCAATATTAATTTTATCTCTTTATAAGCTTATTGGTGCAGCCATCCACAACAATTACAGGGTTATGTCTGGACTGTAAACGTACTGCTGACTGACTGACCAAACCACTCCACAAATCTGGAAGTGCAAATGATAAAGCAAGTGAACACTGTGGCAAATAAAAGTACCCGAAAGCTATTCCGAACTCAAAACCCGTCCATATGTAAATCAGATCAACACAAAAATTGATTTCTGCTGCTAAACTCATGCTTTCCTCTAATCCAAACATTTCCAGTTTTACCAACAAATCTTAAGCAGAAAGCTGAATCTCCTGATGACAGCTGATTACTTTCCAAAGTGTCTAGTAGACAGGCTTTACAACAGCCACAGTTTTACAAGCATTTGGCCAGCGATTGGCGGTTATTTCCCCAGCTTGAGGGTAAGCACCAGAAGTGAGTTAAACGGTAAATATTCCTTTTGGCTTAAACTGCAGCCAACCTCTGATGACACACAATGAGTGGACCGAGTGTTTACCAAATAAGCTGGATAAGCTCATCTGTCTTCCCTCGCACTCATAAACATACAGTCATCCAAACCTGTATTTCTAACTGAGTCACGTGCTTTAATAGTTTCCTCATGCACAAAACATTTTAAACACACTGCCAGATCACAAGAAGAAGAAGGTGATGAAGCAATGTGATCTGAACAGTGTTTGTTCAGAACATCTAGCGGCATGTCTAATTTTGCAGATCAAAGTAGCATGATAAGTTTAAATCAAATTTCCATAATATTATGGTTCAAAAAGCCAAAAGCAGTTCATACTAAACTATTCGTGCCACATCACTGCTATATTAGGCTCAAACTTTAAAACTCAGGCTTTAAAACTCAGTCCTTACCAAAAAAAATGGTTCTGAGGCTTGTAAACCAATATTTTATGATAAATTTACCACGTTTTTGTTTGACAGATTTCTTGGTAGCACAGTCAGGCATCTATCTACCAACCTCCAACTCTACCACCTGAGCCACAGCCGCACACATGTTTAACCTTGTACAAAAATTAATAAGACAGGATTTGAGCTCCACTACATGACAGCTATAACTGTGTCACTTTGACTGAATAAGGATCAGTTTATAAAGGCCCCATAAGAGCTTGACTGGTGTTGAAATGGGAATCATTCTTGTGTATTAAGGAATTTACACTTGGTGATAAGTAACTGCACACTCCTCTAAAAACTTAGAGTATAATGCCGTCTAGAACTATTCGCCTGTTCAGTACTGTCAACTCCTTGTATGCATTTCTAGCCTACTTGTTTGCCATCATTTTTTAATTTATCAGCAACAGCATAACCACCCCAATGGAAGGACTCATAGATGTGATCAAAATCAAGGAGATTGCAAAAAACTTTCAGAATGATATGAGGGTCAAATATGTTTTGATAATGCTCCATGCACAACCATGAACGCTGGCAACAATGTAGCCATTTATGTAGGTCACATTTTAGACTCTACAGAGAATCACGTCTGAACTCTAAAATCAGTCTCGTGTTAACCGCTACGCCACTTAAACTTCTTTTGGCTGCTCCATTATTTGCATAGTCACCTCATTGTAGACACACTTCCTGACGCCACTCTTCCAGGGGTTTTGCATCTCTTCCCAGTCCCAAAACCATTCACATGCAATCGAAATGTCTTAACCAATACACCATGGAGTACTAATTAAGCTCTCAATTACACTTTTAACAAAATGAAATGAACAAATTAGCATTTGCACTAAGTTCTAAAGCAACATTACCATATTTCTATGTTACTGTAGTATAACTCTGAACCTGTAAGAGTTGGAAAATTGTGCCAATAACTGTTAAACGTCCCAAATGTCAATACAGTTCTAGTGTCTTTTAAAGAGGGAGTAGTAAATGAGTGAATAAGAGAATGATTTGGGGATTTTGGGCAGAGTTTCTATGTGTAACTACTACCCATGATGCTTTTCACTCTCACCTTCTCTGCCAGCAGCTCTCGGATTTTCCCTGCCTGGAGCCGGAACCTCAGCAGCTGCATTTCAAGAGCGATACAGCGTTTCTGCCAATCCACACTGGCCGCTCCAGCGGCTCCTGCCCCGCTGCTCTCCAACACGTCAGCCATGGCGAGAATTCAGGGCTCTTCCTCTGGACTGAAATACAGAAAACACAAATCTGCTTGTAAACTTTGGGCCTGCATGGTTTGACTTTAATAGTTATGAATGGGCTGCACAAACTTGAAAATTTGCAAATTTGATCAAAGACTGAAAATGACATCCCTGAGCAGGAGGTTAAAAAAAAAAGTCATCCTGGAAAGGCATTTCCCTACGAGGCTCAGCTTCTGTTTTCATTTACAGCACAAAACCTTTGCTGACCACACTTCCCATGATTCACTGACGAAACGTGAGTAAGGAAAATACTAACGATGAATCCACAATGACACAAGTTTAATGAAAGCTTCCTCTTACTTTCTGTGTTGCTTTGTGACACATAAAAAGAAACCTACATGCAAACACAAGTGTTAGGCACATAAATAAACATTGTAGAGAGATCACCACAGGATTATTTTTTTATTTGCCTTTCCTATTCTTTCTTAGTCTCTGCACATGCCCACACACACTGAACAAAACCTCAGCAGGGAGACTTTTTGTCAGTGGGGGAGCCGGTTCATGTGTACTGGCTCTCAGGTCTGCCAGCCACAAAGCAGGTCAGTGCTCTGCTTTTTAGCCAAATTACCTACTAACCCAATCCCCTGCCCTCCCCCCTATGCAATCCCTTCTTAATTACAAGGAAGGAGCAAAACGGGATCCTGTGCAGCACAATAGTGTCTTTCTGCATGACAGTCCCATCACAGCTAAAAAGGAGGGGGCACCAGCTTGCTGCTGCAAAGAAAGGAGGAAAGAATGTGTGACAGTGAATGGACCGAGCTCTGAATGTGGGAAACTGGGGCGCTTAAGTTGTTTTTACCTGAGGACGATTGACTGGTGGCTTTTTTTCCCTCGACAAGATACTCATTTAAAAAGGTTAAAGGCCTGCTGTGTGAACATCCCGAAATAAAAGTAGTTCTAATGATCAGCTTTGAGGTTGTGTGCCTAATGTGCAGGTTTGTGTGAACATTTGCACATCAAAATGAAAACAAATGAAGCTCAAGGAAGTTATAAAAGCTGAGTTTTCAGACAGAAAGACATCCAGTCTCAAAGTGCAGCCAGACACCATCAGCAGAACAGCAGACGTTCAAAGTCCGGCAACTATAACTGCAACATGGCGCTCCCTACAATTAGCATGCTCGTAAATACAGGCCTAGAAAACAAATTACAGAAGTCATGCGAGTGGAGGTTTTACCAGCCAACCGCTGTGCCCAGCCTGGACAGTCAAGGTCCATCTACCAAGAGTTCCCCTGTGTCTCTGTCTCTCTCTGGGGCAAACTGGAGGGTATGAGGGTCATGCAAAGCCAGACGCCATTGTGGGTAAGAGGTTGGATCCCTTGGCTTGAATAAGCCCTTCTGGGTCATACTGTGCAGAACAGGGAAAGACAACGCCAGATGCTCCTCCAGGAGCTAAAACAACTGGGTGTAAACAAGCCATTTGCTTGTTAAACACTCTCAGCACTGCTATGCTAATTCTCCCTGAACCAATTCCTTTAGTGCTCTTTGCTTGTTGGAGACATTAAAGGTTGTTAAAGCTAAGGGCAACCTGTGCCAGGATCCCAGTTGAATAATCAGCAAGTGTAAAGTTAAACTTGCTCAAGGTAGGGAGGGAAGGCAAATAAAGATTACAGAAATGTTTTCTGCTCACTTCCTCAGAGTGCATGCGGATAAAAATCAACCCCACAACACCAGCTTGTCAAGAATTAGTTTATTCTCAAGGTGTGTGGGAGCAATACAGCCCAACGTGAATTAAACTGGAGTCATTTTATCCTTTTCAAGTATAGCCCTCCATCATGGGATGGTTTACAGAAATGCAGAAGGCAATTTTCCACTGAGTCTAGTGTTAAATATGATCTGATAAATACTATTCTCTACTCAAGTATCGTCTCTTGTGCTGGAAACATTCAGGTGGTAGGGGTAGAGAGAGAGAAAGTCAAGACAACAAAAACAAGCTTTCCAGGATCTGCACGGTAGATCCATGTTTGGTAACACTTGGGCCACCCAGAGCGGACTGTGTGGGGAGATGCATGCGAGGGATGTAGCGCAGAACGGCGAGTGCTCTCCTGGCAGCAGATAGATGTGAAGGCCCTGGGAGCTTCTCTACTTCCATCTAGCTGCAAGAACTTGCACACAGCCACAGCCAGAGCAAACACTGGGAAAGACGTCTGGATGGAAACGCCACCGCAACGATCCCAGCAGGATAGTTTCTACGCCTGCCATAGGAGACGACCGCTTCCCACTGACAGTTATACTGCAGTATTCCTCAAACTGAGTGAGATTTGGTATTCAGTAAGGAGAGGTTTTATTCATAATCACAGATTGAAATAAAGGAATTTGTGTGGACAGCGTGTGAATGCACCTTTGCCATTCTGCGCACAAAAAAAAGGAGTCTCAAGTCGGTCCTTTCGTTGACATGAACCTCTTTAATCACCACGTATTCAAACACACACGCCGCGGTCAGTCGTAACTCTTCAGCGCTTGCTTACCAGAGCACAGGCAGGCGCAGATGGAGATACACAGAGGACTAGATTGGAAACAGACACATGTGCGTGCACACCACTGACACACTGCTGAGCATGCAGCTGTGGTGATGTAAGTGATTAGGTGGTTCAGTCATATCATCCCCACCAGACATTTCAAATCCCCGATGTTGTTGTCTCCACAGAGGTCCAACTTGGCTTCCCTGCGTTTTGGCATGTCCCCCCACTTTGAAAAAGACTCCCATGAGACAGCACAGCAGCGTGTGCGTAAATCTGGGTCAGTCACAGCAGATTTGTGTCAGCGTGGCAGATCCCTCTGTGCATGAGAGCTGACACAGAAGAACTATCCGAGAGCACGAGGAGTCAAGTGTGGGTGTTTTAAATATTGCCTTATCGTCTCCTCGGTGGCCTCATGTGTTTAACAAAGGGGGACCACTGTTGACTCCCATCTGGTCAGGTAGGCCTCACACTTTATATTTTTTTTAAGAATCAGTGCCTCACTGTTTATTAACCTTTGACCCGATTCATGATAGAAACATAGAAAAACAACATCATTTGCTGTTGTTTTTATAGTTATACTCAAAGGGTAACTTTACAATTCTAAAATTACACATTTAAACCACTCCAGAGCCTTGTGGATGTTTTTAGGCTATTTTTAAAATCTCAACTACACCTCACCTTTATCCTCCCCAGTTATCTTATCTGTCTTGTCTTACTCACCTCTCCTCCAACACCTCTCACTTTCCATCCTCCACCCTTCTTTCCTCCACATCCTCTCCTCCTCTTCCTAACCTTTGCCAGCAAGAAAACCTGCAGCTCTCTCCCAGCCCAGGTTAATGACAGGCCTCAGCAAACTGACCACACTCATTATCAGTCTCGGGCTTAAATACAGGCCCTGACATTCCTCTGCACTGAGGTGTAAACATCTACCTCTGCAACTCTTCTGTCCTTTGCACACACTTTTAAGTCCTGGCTTCTGCAGTTATCGCTGCAGGGCATAGAAAGCCTTTGCTTTTGACATAAAATGCAAGAGTTATAGCAGGAGACACGCTTAAACACACTGTGTGGAACGGAATATATATACATATATATATATATATATATATATATCTTGGGTCTATATATCAGCCTGAGAATGTGTTAAATCACAGCAATAGCCCCTGCCGGAGAAATCAGTTTGATCTGGAGCAGCAATGTGAGCCTTTACGATTTCCCCACATGTTAAAAAAGATGATGGGATTTTTAAAAAAAGAAAAGCTGCGCACTTTACTCTAAGGTCATGCAAACCCAATGCAACAGATGTTATTTCCTTCTTACTTCACATGCAGGCATCGCAGTTTTAATATACGCATTTAGAGCTAACCCAAGGGCGAGACTTTATACGAAAAAAGGTCCACAAGGAACAGGTGTGTGCACAGCTCAGCAGCACAGCATCAACCGTAAAGCGTAGGTCTGCAGAAACAAAAAAAAAAGTTAACCGAGCCATCAGGAACCTCTCAAAATACACAGGCGTCTTTTGTCCCCAGCAGCCTCCTGCACGCGACTTTATTTAATTTTGCACGATCATAAAATTCCGCGAGTGACTGAAGATATAAATGAAATAGATCACTTAATGTCATGTGCTTTTAAAACGGACCACTGTAAGGCTTCTTTACCTTGTGACTTCGTTGTTTATGCCCACCTCTCAGTCGAGTCTCTCCTCTCACGGACACCTTCCCCGGCAACTCGTGGCAACTCGTCGCAACTCGGCTCATAACGTCTCCGTCACCGCGTCGACTTCCACTCGCTTCTCTCATTCATTTCTTTGCTTTCATGTCTTGTGTCGGTCCGTCCCGGTGCCGTCCTTCGTTTTCTTTTGGAGCGCAGCGACTTCAGTGCAACTCACTCACAGCTCCATTCAACAGACTCATCCCATTTTCCTTTAAAGGGCCGAATGCGGGATCAAATTTCTCCAGGAGTCAGGCCCCCCTCTTGTGCGCAGGAGCTGCTCAGGATATTGCATTAAGGCAGACTTGGGTTTTCCCTTTAGGATGTAAACAAAGAGCAGTGAATATTACTTTGCTGAAGAAGAAAAAAATCCCTATAGTCTATAAACCCGAGGAGAGATGAAACAGCTTCATGTTTTAAGGCCAAGGATGTTGTAAAAATGGGGCGACAGGAGATGTCAGGTCACCACAATTTTTATTTAGAACACATCATCAAAAAATCTTAAAGTTTTACAGTAGTTCATTATTAGTTCTTTTAGATTTTCAGTCTGAACCATAGTGGTTGGTCTACTGCTGATAGATTTCGAGCATTGGCAAAAAGCATGCCTGCCTTTTCTCCCTCAGTTTAGCCTGTTTATTATCAAACATATTTCATGTAAAAATGTTTGAGAATTAATCAGAATTTATCTCTTACTTTAAAGAAACGTTTGAGAAGTATGAGAAGTATGGCAGCAAATACTACTGTTCAGGTTTGTTGATGTTGGACCTGACCTGCCACAAGGTTCACTTTTGGGGCCTTTACTGTTTTTGTTATATCTGCACCCTCTTCAGTACACTTTGAACATTTTCAAGGACATTTCTTATCACTGGTATGTTGATGACATTCAGTTATATATCTCTATTTAGTTACAAAATGTTTCTAAGCTACAGATCTTACATAGTTGCTTAGACTCAACTAACAGTTCAATTGCTGACAACAATCCTTGTTTGTGCGCCTAACAGATTTGTGTCTAAGTTAATGAAAACTCTAGGTCCTCTTGCCACTTTTGCTATATCTTCTATCAGGAAGATTGATCACTTTGGTTGTTAACGTTAAATCTCTGGTTCACTTTAGCTTTCTTCACTTAAGAAATATTGCCAAGTTGAATTTCTTATGTCATGGCGTTGGAAATTTATCTTCCTCACTTAATTTCATCACATTACAAAACTTCCCTGGAACATCTGCAGAATTATCTGAATGCTGCTCCAAGACTTGTTGGTCACGCCCTTGCTGACCCAGCTGCACTGACTCCCCAGTAACTTCAGAGTCCACTTCAGGATTATGTTTTTAACTTTAAGAGCTCCGAGCAGCGGCACACATCAGTGAACTTGAGGTCCTTGACCTCATGTGTTCAGCAGCCGCTGGCTGTGCAGCAAGAGCACAAAGCTGATAACTAAATGTGACAAACTCGTCTTTTCAAACTTGCTTTTTGGTAACTTTTTGTTCTGATATCCTTGCATTTTTGTTGTGAAGTACCTTTTACTTTTAAAATAACATTTTAAAAGCAGCTTGTATATTACCGCTGATATCAAGAATTTAAAGACCACCATGTGTGAGCACTAAAAAGTCCAAATTTGAGGTTTTAAGTAGCCTAATTACAGTTTGTATGTTTATTGGCAAAGCTTGCAGGCTGGGCTTTACTGGAATCAAAAGTTGTTAAACCAATGTGTGGTGCTTTGCCACTGTACTGAATAATTATCTAGGCAGTAAAAGAATTGTTAGGGGATCATTTGGGAGTAGCTGAAAACACACCAACGAAATACAAGTAGGCTCAGGTCTTGCATCCCCTTCAGAGTCCTGGTCTTATTTCCTTAAACCTCAGAAGGATTCCCTCAAATGTCAGAAGTAGTTCAGATTCAAGCGGCTTTAATCAGCAGTAGAGTCTGAAAACAAATGGGGCCTAATCAGAAAGCCAGACTAGTGGCCCTGGTGGGAAGATCGGTTTCTACTCATGGACTTTGCATATCTCCATCTGGAACGTTTTATAGTGTCTCTCTGTCTGTCTGTGCATTTCAAATGCTGCATGTTATACCCAAATAAAAAAATCATTAGTAGCAAGCTTCCTTTTACATTTACACAGCATCTGATACTAAGCAGCAGCAGCAGTTCAGTTTCAAGTCGCTCAGTGTAATAACAAAACAGCAACAATAAAAAGATCGAATTAAAATATGGCCAAAAATGGATCTGTGGCATATTTTATTTTAAAGTTGGTTTGTTAATGTAACAAGCATGCAGTGGTGAGACACGCCCTGCTTCGTCCGCTGACTGATGTAGTAAATACGGAGGGCATGCATGAAGACATATTCGGACAGAGACCGAGATTGCACACAAATAACCACAAAAATCTTCTCAGCTGATGATGTTGCAAAAAGTGGACAGAGATATGAGGCACAGTAACAACATGTGTTTATTTAGTTATTTTTAGCGAGCACCAACTTCATGTCGTAACTGTTTCTAGCAGTTCTAAGTTAAGCTGATGTTGAAGGTAAAGTTGAGTATTTGTTCACTTAAATATTGAAGAATACAGTGTGTAGAGATGACCTGATGGTGGGGCTGTTTTAAAGCGTAAATGATCTTCATTTTTATTACAACACTGTCATGGAGATATCCATCAAAGAGATACAGCACTGTGCAAAAGTCTTGAGTCAACCCCTCACTTCTTTATCTTTTATATGTGGTCTTGGACTATAGTTCTCCATTTCTGAAGGTATTTCAAAGTCTTTCTTTGGACGTTGATTGCTCTTTATTCCTTTTCCTTCAGTCTGACCATTTTCACAGAAATGATTCTTTGTTTGTTGGCACTTACCTATGAATCCTTAAAGTATAAAAAGACACTTAAATCAAGGGATGAACCAGTGTTGTGCCTACATGTAACAGACAACTTGGCAAAGAATCTTAAGAATTATAAAAATATATTTTTAAGCCCTTTGTTATTAGAAGGCTATCATAAAAAGACAGGAATTGTTTCCATTTCTTTAGTTTAATCCATGAAAAAGATAACACAGTTTGCTATGCATACAATAGTGTTTTTCCACAAACTAGGTGATTCCCAAAGAACTATTATCTGAAAACTTTGCATGTCTTAGCAAACTGTAATCTGGACAAGTTGAGGATAAAAGAAGAGAAGTGATAGGCCTAAAATCCTCTCTACAACAAATTAACAGTATCTGAAATTCATCTCCTTGAGAAACAGTAAATAATCTAGCAAAGACCTGACACAGGACCTGAGAGATGCTTCTGGGACTTCAGGTGATCCATCCACTGTTCAATGGAGCCTCATCAGAAACAAGCTCACTTGAAAGGTGGCTGTCAAGAAGCAATTCGTAAGGAAAAAAACAGAGAGAAAGGGCTGAGGAGCGCCAAATTACACTAACACAGGGAAATCTATAGCAACTGGTCTTTTGTGATGAATCCACATTTGAAAATTTTGGCTGAAACCACTGTCAGTATGTATGGAGGTGGTCAGGAGAGAGATATAATGATGAGTGTCTACAGCCATCTGTACACAAGTGTAGATGCACAGTGGAGTGTTTTGTGTTTGCATTTTAGCCAGAGGCATTGGAGAGCTTCTCACAGTTGATGGAATTATGGACACAAATGTAGAGAATGCAAACAAAAGGCAGCCAATATCCAAAGAGCAGATTTGGATGTCCTTCAAGAAACCCGGAGAACTATTCCTGAAGAAATTACTAGAAAGCTTGCCCAAGAGAGTTCAGGCTGTTGTACAAGCTGTTTTTACCTTATATACTGTATTTACATGTATGTTTGCACATAATTTAATAAATTACTGCACCCATTTTGTCCAAGAAAAATATAAAGAAATTAGGGTTACTTTTGCAAAGTACTTCAGTATTTCAGTCTGGGTCTGAATACTGGACCTACCAGCTGACAGGCACTGGCTTGATCATACTGCTTGCATGGCTAAAACCCATATGAAAGATGTGTTCAGCTTCCAGATCTATAAAGAGAAGCCACTGAAGAAGTTCCTTAAACCTGCTTTCTGTCTAATGGCCCTCAGGGAGGTGAGGGCTACTGGGGATACTGTGGTTGCAAAAACAAGTCAGATTTATAGAAGTTTATATGAAAACGTCTCTAACGCTCACTTCATCTATGACCTCAGCAAATACTCTACTGATGAGTTTATAGCCTCCGCTGCTATTTTCAAGTCTTAATAAATTCAACATGATGTTTGCTTTATAAATTATGGTCCCATTAGTGACCAAAAGGATGATGCTTCAGGGCAGGTCAACGAGGCTTCACAACAGGGCTTCACTAACCAACGGATGACATCATGCTTCACAGTCCATACTAATAAACTTCTGCTGTTGTTTTGGACTGATACGGGATTCACACTGCATGTGAATACCTTTATTTTGATTGTAAACTGCATAGACATATGAAACATGTCATTAAATTAAAAAAAATTCATTTTAAAAAACTTGCTGGGTTTTGCTGGTTGCATCAACATTTTCTAACATGATTAACTGCAACTTTCTGTGGAAAATGTTTCCAAACTTCATCCTGGAAATGATCGATTTAGACTGGGAGGGTGAGTTTACAGCAGGGATTTTGGCATTATAGCTGGCCAAAAGACTCTGCCTTGTGTTGCACAATAAGTCAGTGCCTCAGTGCTCTCAGTCAAAACAACTGGTGTCAGGCCTACATGGTTTACATGCCTATTCTCGGGCACAGCTGCCAGTGCACTGGGGGGAGGCAGGACAGTAAAGAGGGAGCTTAAGGCCAGTTTCATCAAGTGTTCACAGATTAATGTGTTTTCTTACAGCTATTTAACTTGCAGAGCTATGCGATGACCCAGACTGTGACAGGGTCACTGAGCAGACCCGGGAGATCCAAGTGACCCATCGTCAGAGCTGAGAGGAAGTGGTAGATGACAGTAGTCTGAGATAAAGTGGACTTTGTAGCCGACATTAGGCAGAGATAATAAAACAGAACAATGATTGTTTGATACTTGAAGATTTCTTAAAG